GTTTTGTAATAAAATAATAAAATAAAGTCATGTGTTGTTGCATTCAAATGATGGCAAACAAATTGCAAATTAAAAAGATGCATTTCATGTACCACCCAAAACATTTCCTACACCTTTCAAAAAGAACTCTCAGCAACATCATAAAACACAACAAAGATATTAGAGTAGAATTTTGTATTTCACTGCTTTAGGCACTTTGCTAATAACTAGTCGACCATCATAACTTAAAGAGGCAAAAGTCCAAGGATCAGCCACAGACCATTCAACACTATACACTGAATCTTCATGTTGGTCATAGGTAGCTAGAATTCCATCGGCGAGTCTACACATACATATACGCATACAAAAAGGAAAATTTAAAAAAATTAAGTATGCAACATTTTTAAAAAACTATTAAAATAATTTTGTTTTTTCTAATTTTGAAAGTAGTACTTACATTCCCTTCCTTGTATCACTTTCGTCCTCAGTTGCTCCTAAGTGTCCATCAGGTTCAGATGATATAGATGCAACACTAGTGAGCACTAAGCGAGCATCACTACTTGATGTTAGAACCAATTGGTCATGGAAATGATTATATCTCACTGCCCAAACCCTGTGAGAAAATTGAGTGATTAAATTAAAACACTATACAGCATTTGTACTTTGTTTAAACCAAAGTGAGATCATAATCATTACCAATGAGAGTGATCTGATCTTGAGATAACTGGTTCAGAAGGGTTTCGGACATCCCAAAATTTAGTGCATCCGTCATCTCCCCCAGATGCAATATAATACTGTTTATTGGGATTAATATCAAAGTCTCTGAAAGAAGACGTCATAAAATGATCATAATGTCAACAGTATACGGTAGATTTGGATCCCTAAGTAAATGCACGGTTTCGTTTGTTTTGAGTAAAAACTTACCTTACTAGTTGAGAATGAGCACCTTCAATACACCACGCTTGTTTATTATCCTCTCGAAGATCCCAGCTGCGTACACTGCATTCACTTGCAGTTACAAATTGAGTGCATTTATGATGAGGGTTCCATTTTCCAGTCATGAATTTTGGTTGACCTTTACTTTCAAGGGTCCCTTTAGAGACAAGCTGTGAAATAGGCATATGTAATTAGCGCATGCATTACCAAAATGAACACAATGCACAGTTGCTTTTAAATCCATACGCCAACCTTTGCTGATGATTCACTGACATCAAACATTAGAAAGTGATTGTCCACAATTGACATGACTCTTGACCCATCAGTAGGATGAAAAGCAGACACTTTGACTTCTTTGCCATATTCTGAAGTGTCAAATTCACACACACACTCAAGAGGCCCACTTGAAGAATGATGAGGACCACTACCTGTCTCTTGATCTGAGTCCCCACGATCATCACTTTCTGATGATGGCAGACGCCATAAACTTGATTTCATTAGGCATGTACTTTCTTCTGTAAATAAATTTTTAAAAAGTGAAAGAAATTATATAAGAATAGAAAATGTTGGGGGCAGCTAAGACAGCTAAGAAAATGCATTATTTACCTGTTAATGTATTATAACAGGTAGTTATGATGTCATGACTAACAGGTGATGGTGATACAGACCATATTTCCCCAACACTGTGAGGAAATACCCGGGTGTTTACAAAACTCTGCTCTTCATCAAGTTCTACAAGATGAATTTGGTTTTGGGAAAATTTCAGAGACTGAGTTCCGACAAAAAAGCGAACTGCCTCGGTTTCAGCAAGTTGAGGTGCCAGAGCACGAGCCTGGGAAAAAAAAAGGAAATTAATTTACAGGAGCAAGTTGAGAAAAATGATGGATTGTGCTTACATATTTTTAATTATTAGTTATTCAATCGACAACTTTTCAAAACGGAAATAACCTCTTAAAAACATTTGTCAAAAACTTACTACATGCTACAGAGGACGGTCGTTAAAACATTGTGTTTCATATTGAAAATTCATACCTGAAATTCTAGGCCGTAGATTATAGAATTGTCGTCTGCCATGTCGTCAAAAAAGTTCACCTGTCACCCGGGACAAATATGTTTATATACAAGCAGACATAAGACAGTTGTCAGTGTCAATGGTGACACGTAATAAAGAATCCTCTCCCAAAGCCTTGACACGACTGATTTGAAAATTCTGTATGACGAATAAGGTGCAATACATTCCGCAGCATAACACAAAACTATTTACTCACTCCTTTAGAATACGGGGACGAATTAACATGTTTGTGTGTTCAATCGGTCCAGGATATGGTCAGGTACTCGCACATACCACGACGGCATCACGGCCCGGTGGGTCGTTTCTCCGTTCCTCCCCTTTTTCCCCTTTCCCTTTCCTCCCCTCCCCTCCCTTCCCCCACCCCCCTCCTCTTTTCCCTCCCCTCTCCGTGACGACCAATGACGACTTGAATCATGGATCCCTAGTGGATCTCTCAACGCAACGGACGGGACAGCACGGCGGTTCTTTTTTTCCCGAGGGAGCACAATGTGTGAAATTAAGCACCTTGTTTTGATCTAGTAAAAGTTAGAGCTGACGTTTATTCTGAATCTTATGTTGAGCTGTCAATGTGGTCATCATTATTCTCCCTCTGTGTAAGAAGCGGTTTTGATCATCGTTATGGGTAACTTCAAGCTCATAGATCATGAGTACCTATCACCACAAGAACTGGCCGGATTTGAAACTTATAAGGTAAATTGGTTTGTCGACCAGCCCCCTCCCCTCTTCTAAGTTGAGGTTTAATTTATTTGATTATTGATACTGGTTTGTTTCGTGCGTTATGCCTGTTACGTTAAAATTTTCATGTGAGGTTATATGTTGCACTATACTTGTCAAATCTGAGTTTCAGTAACTGAAAGGCGCTTATAAATCCTTTGTAAGCAAAACATTACCGTAAACATCTATCTTGGTTAGCCTGTAATTACTTGCATACTTGTCAAGTTTAATGTTATAGTTGTTGTCATGGTCATTGGATATCGGTCATATCTGCTCTAATGTGTCAATCAATTCTTTCGAACCAGATCAGTCAATTGTCAAGTGTTTTGGACTATATGTAGTATTTTATTGTTTTTATGTTCAATTCTATGTATATTTTTATCCAGACTACATTTATCTCCCCATATAGTTAAAGGCAATTGCTGTTTCTTGGCCTCTGTTTTTTCTTACACATTTGTTTTGATCAGAACTGGAATATGTTTCATCGTAATACTGGAATGGTGCTGCTTCCGTACCTCCATTTTCCACGAATCTTGTTATAAAACTCTTCTTAGCTTGTAGTAAGGTGTTTTATCAGCATTACTGTTCTTATTTAAAATCACAAATTTTTGAACTTAATTTGAACATAATTTCTTAAAACAATAATTCTGGAATAAACAAATTCTTTCCCAGTTTCATTTTTTATTTACTCTTTGTTGCTATACTATTGTGCTTTATAGCATCAAGAATTTGTTTCTTATACTAGAAAATTTTTTGTTGAGTCACCATATTTTATTACATTGTTAGAAGTGTTCAAAGGGTGCTCCCCATCCTTTTCATTTGTATTGCAGAACAGTAGCATATTCATGTATAAATTTTGCAGGTGTTAACTAAGAAAAGTCAATTTTTATCTACATTTTCCCCCTGAAATTAGGATTGTTGCCATTCATTCCAAACCCCTGACCATGCATGCAGTTACCGGTTTATGTGTGCATTGTTTGCCACATTGGATGCAGAGTGCGCCGCGATGCAGACTTCGACCTCACGCGGGCTGTCCGTCCACGTCCATATCTTGTTTGGGTTGATTGCTCTCATTTTTGTCCCCCTAATTACTATTGTGAGGGGGGAAAAGGAAGAGAGGGGGGGGGGGGGGGTAATCAGTCAGCACATTATTTCGAGCGCAGTGCGTACGGCATTGCCAGCCTCTCTGTTGTGAGTACCGTACTTGCATTTTTCAGTCGCTCGGCGGGAATGAATGAATGTACTAAAGTTCTGTGGGATTTCAACTTTTTTTCCACTTAACTCTACTTTTAACTTTTCCTTCCACACTTAAAGTTTTAGTAAAAGGAATAGAGAAGGGAGATAAATGTGGTTTAAGGATTACAGTGCAAGAGTGCCCCGACAATGACTTAACTTCCCTTGACTTCACATTGTCTTCCCTTAAATTAAAGAAAATATGTACACAACTTGTGAAAATAAAATGGTTGTTACTTTAAGTGAAGACAAAATGAAGCCTGGAGAAGATATTGTGGGAGCAACCTGAAATAAAAACTTATCAAGCCTGTCAAGTACCTTGTAACTTTTTCATTTTGATGCTGGTCTGTGTTTGTGACATTTCTGATGTGCCTTAATTATCCTTTTTTTCTGCATTTGTTAACAGTATAGTTCAATAGACAGTAGCCCTATTGGAAAATACATCACACACCCATTTTGGAATTTTGTTGTCAAGGTATGTCCTAATTTTTTTCTTATTATGGATTAGATTCGAGATAACAGAAAATGTGTTATTTTTATCCTCCTCTGTCAATATTTAGTTTTGCCCAACATGGATTGCTCCCAATGTTCTCACCTTCTCCGGCTTTCTCCTTACTGTGGTGAACTTTATCATGTTCGCTTACTATGATCCTAATTTCTATGCATCAAGTATTGATAAACCTGATGCAACCATTCCTCGTTGGGTCTTTCTGCTAGCAGCCATTAATCTCTTTTTGGCTCATACTTTAGGTAAGCATTTCAGAATTATGCTTCAATATGTGTTTTCTTATAATTATGTTCTTTTACTTCTTGAGCTATGCCTGTTGCAGATGGTATTGACGGCAAACAAGCAAGGCGGACTGGAACAAGTGGTCCTCTAGGGGAGCTTTTTGATCACGGCTTAGATTCATGGTCTTCAGCCTTCATTCCCATATGCTTATATTCAGCATTTGGTTGCTCTGATCTTACAACTTTCCGTATGTTTTTCTGTTTATGGAATGTCTTCTTCAATTTCTACACTTCTCATTGGGAAAAGTATAACACAGGAGTATTATTTTTACCCTGGGGCTATGATGGGGCGATGATCGTAAGTTATGAGAACCTCAAATTTAATTAACAGCACTAAACTGTTTTTCATGACACATTTTAATTTAAGCTGTACTTCCTTTTTTTACAGGTTGTCATATTTCTTTTTACTATTACTGGTATTTTTGGTCATGAAATGTGGTACTTTTCACTGTGGAATGGTTTTACTGCTAGTCATCTATTTGAGTTCCTCTTCTATTTTAGTGCATTAATTACAAATGTACCAGTGGTACTGTGGAACATATATCTGTAAGTTAATATTTGTTGTCTTAATTTGTGGTTTTGGGTGTCATTCAATATTTATCATTGCTTATTAATTTGGCAGATCCTATCGAGATCGCACTGGCAGGATGAGGCCAGTTGTTGAAGCTGCGAGACCTCTGTTTCCTGTTTTTATACTAATGGCGATTTCTACAGTATGGGTTACTCAGTCACCAAATGACATTGTTTCAACAGATGCTCGAATAATGTTTTTGTTAGTTGGAACTCTATTTTCAAATATATGTGTGAGTTTGTTTTCAAGTTTGTTTTATAGTGCAGTTACAACAGGGCTCAATTTTGAATCTGAGTTAAATTTTGATTTCTATTTATATGGATATAACTTTAATTTGTTTCAGTGTCGGTTAATTGTTGCACAAATGAGCGATCAGCGTTGTGATTCATTCAATTTACTCTTGATTCCTTTAACTGCTGTTGTTGCTTGTGTGTGGCTCCTCCCTGCAAACCGATCTCTCCTCGTGGAGGAGGGCCTTCTATACTTGCTCACAGCATTTGTTATCTGTGCGCACACTCATTATGGAACATGTGTAGTAAGTTCTAATCCTTCCAAGACCACTGCCATCTATCTGTTGGAACCTTCGACTCAATTTTTCTAAATTTTTAGGTCAGGCAAATGTGTAGGCACTTCCATATTGATTGCTTCCATATTCGACAACACTCAGAATGACTATTAGCCGACAACATGTGTTAAATGGTTATTTATAATCAGATTAATTCCAAGAGCAAACTTACAGGCAAGTCTCTGGCAAATTAAGAACTTCTCTGTTCTTAGCCAACTGGTTTGGTTTATACTTATTATGTACTTCAATTAACTGTTCTGTTTTCATTTTTCAGGAAGTAAACAATTAACCAACCAAAGAAATTATGCACATATGTATTAGAGTAGATTATACTTGTGACCTAGCTTTTGAAACACTTTTTCCATTCAGTGCTGCAGATCTCATGGATGAGGTATGTAACAATTCTGAGCATTTTTCCTTTGGTCTTCTCCAGTCTAATCTAATCTTTATAAATTTTGATTATATTTGTGAATTTTGATTTTGCGTAATCTATAAAACAAAAAAGGAATCCTAAATTATTTTTTTTAATACTGAAAATACTAGAAATAGAATTGATTTCATTGTATCCAAATGCTTGTGATTCCACTGTTAAGGATGGGACAGTGAGCAGAGGGGAGGGGAAGAAAGAACCATACCCACTTTGCGATGTATTTGACATACTTGCCTATTGTTTACACTCATGTCATATCATAACTTTTTTTTCTCCCACAACTGCGTTCTGTGTTATAACTCATATTTATGTTGTCACTACTGTTGCTATTATCAGCACTGATATTTAAATATCCTCTAGGTATTAGCTCAGCAGTAATTCTCAAAGTTTTCGTACCTCAATAACCTGAACTGAATTTTACAGAGCTCAGAGCTGTTCTGGTTTTGTTCCATTTTTTTTTTTTGTCCTGCCCTGTACTTATTTAGTTTCATAGGCAACGGTAAATCTAGAAATTTTGTCAAAGTATGTATTGTAATTCTTCCATCTAAACATTTCTCCTGTGTCATACATGTGTGTTTGCTTTTCTCCTTTCACACAGTCTTCTATTTTTATGGTAGAATGCAGATAAATTCCATATTAATAAAGTTAAGTGGGTTTTTTATGTTGGTAGTTTATTAATTGTTTTGGGGGATGACAAGATTTATAAAATACCCTGATGATCTCTACTAAGATTTTCTGCACTTTGTATGATGAAGGAACTGTGTCTCTGATTTTATCTGAAGTGGGTATGTTCCAGCTTGCTAGCTTCCTGAACTCATGATTTTTCACAGCTGGTAGAATGTGCTTGAATTTGTGATTGATAAACCACGTCACCTGACAAAATTACTCACCTTCTTCTTTCGTGGAGATGATAGAAAATTAGGTATCAATTTTTTATACTTGGTGAACTGTGTGCACTTCATTCTTTTTAGAGCTTTAATTGATTTTTCCGGTTGGAAAGTTTATTTTTGAGACTTTAATCTAGATCATTGTGTTATTCCAAAAATCTCGTACCTATGTATAATGTGTGTCTATCTTAAGCTCTGATCAGATCTGTGTGGGAATAATTCATACTCAATATTTGTATTTCAGTGTGTTAGTGACAACCTCAAGGTATAGTACAATAGCCTCTTTATTTTATTGGTCAACAAACATAGTCTGTACCTGAAATTTACCAAATTGCTGTAAAACAAAAACAACAGTTGTAACTTATTGAGAATGGTTCTGCATAGAGCCTGTATGGTTGTTTTCTTATATTGTGGGGGACTGCTTAAAAAATCGTGAATGCCTTCTGTTTTTAATTTGACTTATTATCAAATTAATCCAATTTTGTCTTCTGCTTAGTCACTAATGATGAGTACCACTTACTAAAAGTTTAGGAACAGTACCTGTATTTTTTCCTGTGTTTTCAAAATCCTACCAGATTGTGATGTACAGGTTAATATTGATTGCACAGGGTGTTTCTCATTTGTATGTTTAAGCATGGTTTAAGTATATTTTGCCGACCTTTAGTTCCTGGATTGATGTTTCTATTTTTGAGTTGTATTGTGAGTCAGACCCATGTCAAAGCAGTGTTGCAGGTTTGCCTATCTTTGGGGCTGTTGTGCCTTAACGTTGGAGCAAGTAGGTAAACAAACTTGCATGTTTCTGTGTTGTAGCCCTGACACACCGTACATCCTTCTTGAATGCTATGCTGGCACCAATAGGTTCTGTTTGAAAAGAGTGTGATGGATTTGGAACAATGTAAAACTTGTTCAGGAACTTAATTTTCACCCTTTTTAAGCACCATGGTGTATACAATTATTGCCGAAGAATTCTCAAATCACACCGCACCTAGATTAAATGAAGAAACTCTTCCGCTCTACATTCTGCAAAACATTTGAGTGAGTTGTGATTTTGATTCTTCTTCCTCCTTTTTGTTTATACCTGCTGCCAATTAAATCATTTTTGTCCTTCTTTAAAACCTATTTAATTTAGTATCTACCTACTTCAAGTCATAAGTAAAGTCTATGACCCTCCTGGAAAGAAATGTGTTGTTTTTTTCTGGTGTAAGGAAGAAAGGTCTTTAATGCAATGAACTTTTATACTAGTGTTGTAAATAATTATTTTTAATTGCTATGGATTTGTTCATGTTGCTTTAGTGTTTGTTTCGTTTTGTCTTCTGCTTTTTAAGACATAAACCTTTTTGTTTGCTCTTGGTTGACACATGTTGTCCCTCGGACGTTTACTTTTATTTGGTTCTGTGCCATGTTGTGTGCCTGTACCATGTTTGTATTTTGAAATACTTTGGATTTCAGTTGCAGTTGTGTGTACTTGTCTTTGTTTTCTTAAGTAATTCCATTTCTAGTGTTAACGAGGCAGAATGGTAAAATATTTTATGGCTGTGTCTCTGTGTACATAAGTCAAAATGATTTATTAGAGGGTTGTTTCTAGATGGTTCTCAGAAAAAACAAGTCATCCCTATTTATCGATTATGGTACAATTATGTTATTTCAGTTTTGTTTTCTTCATCACCTTTCTTGTTGTTTATTCTTATTTCCATCATTGCAGGTTACAGTAGTAGTATGCCCAACTTTGTCTATATATAGTCAGTTTATCAACTTCCTCTGATGTAATTACACACACACTAAAAAAATATTCTCACCTGAGTGCATGCACTCAACCTCTTGCCCCCGCCCCACTCCCCTTTTTTAAGATTAAATATTAGCAACATTTTAGAATTATCTCAAGCGCTTGCACGCGCGCCTGTGTGTATGGTGTGTTTGGTGTTTGAGTACGACTAAAAGATTGGAAATTTATCACACTTAAACTGATTTCCAAACTTTTGAAGTATACTAGTATACTGTATTACAAACTAATGTTTGATGTCAATGTCACTTTCCTAAGTTGTCAAAAATGGAAACAGCTTATACATGTCTTGGTTCTCATTCAAAGCAGTTGTAATATCAAGCTTATTAAATATGTATATGTGTATGGAACAGGTGAATAAATGTCTTGAATTGTGAAGATGTTATATTTCATGACATCCAAAAGGGTCATATCATGAGACTGGGAAGTAGGTGATGCAAATCATAAGGTTCAGGATAGTACAATAAACTTTTAGGCCATAAATAACAGTGAAAGTTAAAGTATGAAGAACATTACAAATACGTAATTTGTAAATATTGAGTCAGACTTATGCTTTTAAACAGCATGCAATAAATATAGAGCAACGTAAATGTAGAGCAACAGTTTTTTCTTGGATTTTCTCATGTGAAAGGGAAAGTGAGGCATAGTTTAGGACATGAAAATAGCTAGAAAGGCAAGCAGACTATGAAACTGGATGTTGTAGAGTTTCCATTTTACTTGCACTGTTGCCTTGGTAATAATATCCTTGTAACATTAAAAGGGACAGATAGCTAAGTATAAGAAGAGGGTCTGACCAATATATTGAAGTGTAACAAATCACAAAAGACGAAATACAAAATGAAATGAAATTTGACCAATAGTAGTTTATAAAGGACATTTTGCTCTCTGTGACTATATGGAACCTCCATGAGGAAAACTTTCAAAAAGAAAGAGGAAAACAACTTCATTGCACCTTTAGTATTGACTTAATAAGGGTAAATGTGTATCGATTTGAAAACAACTAACTTTCTGAGTTATTACTCTTAAGTTAGTTCTATATTACAATAAAAAAAATAGTTTAATTGCTGCACAAAAAATACTTGTGCAATACAAGCAATGGAATATGACTGGAATATTAAAAACTTCAGATCATGCAAAGCAAGAATTGTCTGCAGATCTGAATAGATAAACTTATCCTAAGTCAACATAGATGAAAATTACACCCATTATCCTTCTGGGTGTAGTCAGAATTGAAGAACTTGAGCAAATCTTATCAAAGCCAATTTACACATTCGAATATCAGAATATAAAGCTATGGGCAACTCAGTCCCAAGGAAAACATTGTTCTGACGAAGACCTCATCGTGATCTCTTTATGGGTTATGAAACCACAATTTTCACCCTGGTGAGGTCATAAGTGCCAAAATGGTGACCTCGTAACCCATAAAGAGATCACAATGAGATCCTCGTGAGAATGTTTTCCTTGGGTATACCAAATGATTCATGTTATAGAAATTAATTCTTGTATTCAAACACAAAACTCCCAGTGGAATTAAGACATAGAAGACATACATGAAAAAACTTGAGGTATTGATAAAAGGCAAGAAAGATCCAGGAATCTGGGTATTATAAAGTAGGTAATAAAAAGTCATAGGATAGCAAGGTCTCTTAAAATAAAAAATGAGAGCAGTTATAACTTAACATTGAGTAAAATTTTGAAAACTTATCAAATAATATCCCATACCAAAAACAAATAGCCGTGATCAATGCTCCCAAGCTGTAATAAAACTTGGTCACAAATATATCAAAAGCCCATAAAACTGAAAAAGGGGACATAAAGAAACACGTCTAAATGCTTTTGTTAAGATTCAATAAAAAATCGTTTTTTACTTGTATTTCCTAAAAAAGAAAACATGTCACAGTCACTGAAAATTGACATCAAATTGATGTATTGATCATGCTCTAGTGTCACCTGTGTGTGCTCGTCTGTTTCTCTTTTATTTGAAGCACCAAAACCAACCACTAAAAATAGTTTAAAATGTTTGAAATTGCAAGCAAAAGTAAGAATTATGCTTTATCAGTTAGACCAATACATTTAGACATTTGATGGAAAACATTAGAACATACCAAGTCTTTCACTTACCCCACAAATTTCTGTAGTTAAACGGTACAGCATGCATGCGTACGGATGGGTTGCCTAATCGGTCGGGTCCATAAGGTGCCGTGGTCAGGAAGATAGGTAAACGTGCCCACACGCCTACATGCGGTGCAGTTTAACTGCGAAAGGGGTTGGGGTCAATCAGCCAACTGGTATATAAATTGCGTACACAATCAAAATTTCTTCCAGCTAATAGGAAAAACGTTCTCTCATTAATTTTTACAGACAGGATATTCAAGATGATTTTTATGAAAATATATGTTTGAAAACAAATACATAAAGATTGGTGCATAATTTGCTCCTGAGAAATATGTAAATGACATTAAAGCAAGTTGCACATTTCAAATTTATGAATTAAATGAAGATTGTAAATAGGCAAGAAGAACACATGCACAATACACAAGCAAGCTTAGGAGTTAGAATTATACTCATTGCACTAATGCAGGCACACATTCATTTACTTTCATGAGAAGATTTGAGAAAAGCCTTGTCAAAAGGGCTGGATCCGGTTAATTTTGACAACATTAAAGAGACACTTAAATATTAGTCGTGTGAAGCTTATGACAGCACATTAATATAAGTCACAGCCAACATCATCAATTACGATCAATGCAAGCAAGAGAGTAAACATAAATAGGACCTCAAGAAAACTCTTGTACTAATAACAGTTTAAAAAGCTGATAAAAAGTTTGACTAGGTTATTCATGTTATAGGATTTGTGCAAAGGGTTAATTCTGAGTAGAGGATATCAAAGTGAATAAATGTCAGATAGACTTATTTCAGTCAAGCAATTGACATTGTTGGTTAACTTGCCAATAAATCTCATTCAATGTACAGTACCAGATGAGAGATCAGAGTACTTCATTAATACAGAAGAAAAAAAAGCTATTATCGCTATTATAACGTGTAAAAAGAATAAAAAATAATAAGGCAGAACAGATGGCCCAGCCAAACTGCTGCATATATGTGGTTTGGTAACAATTGGTACCTGCAATACACACAAAAAGTTGTGTCTGCAAACACCTTTAAATTTGAGTAGAGAATTCAAGACTAAGTACAAAATAAAATAAAATGAATGACACTTACAATATAAACCAAAGACTGACTAGATTCACAGCAGGCAAGGCCTACTCAAAGAGATCGTAACATATTTCAATTAAATTAGTGCATATCAGAGGTAATTTTGTTTAAAAATAAAATGTTCGACAAGGTATAGTAACTGGCATAATTAAAAATGAGCAAAATACAAGTATCAAAATTTAACAAGTTAATCCCCTTCCCACCCACAAACGAAAGAAACCAAACAAAACGCAGTGTGTTTTGATTGATGGCAATTCGTTTTGATAAGACTTTGAAAGCAAAATTAGGAAAGAGGCACCACAAAGTATCACATACCTTAAAATTAAACACATAAATGTGCAATATTTGATAATGGAATAGAAACTGGAAGGAAAACGTGTTTGCCAATACTCACTTATCTCTTTTGCTTTTTTCCCCACAGCAACCGATGGAGATGGATTAAAGGAGAAAATTACTAACAGCATTGTCAGAGTTAAAAATGGCAGCGCTTGAATACAAGAAGCTGAAGCTGCATTGAATGTTAAAATGAGAACTTAAGATTTAGACAGCACAAATATTAATCAGTTCATTGATATTCAATGCACAATTATCATGATACTAATACACCTCACTGATATTCAATCAAAAGTCGACATACTTGGAGAAAAATATTCATGTTTGAGAGGACTGTTGATAAAATCGTTTGACAATTTGGGTAAGATTAAGAACCTGACCTGGGCCCTTACTCTGGTCCATATCCACATATTGGTCCATGTTGTGGCTGCTTGCTAGAAGACATATTGAATAAAGTATTAGGGAATTTTGTAATTGGGAAATATTCTAGAATAAATAATTTATCTAACCTGAAGTACTGATTAGGGGATAGGATGGGGGGGTTTTCAACCAAGTGTTGTCTGCTTTCCGCCAATGACGGCGATCAGAGGCAAAGTTCTGGAGATATTGTGCTGCAGGCACCACTCTAAAATACCTACAACAAAAGTAAAACAAACTTTCATCAATAAAGACCAATTTCTTAGCATTATCTACTCCATACCATTTCTCTTACCGGAAGTAATCAGGGTCAAGAACTTGATCTGTTCGGAAGGTCTCAGTTACATATTTATGAAAATGAGTTGGAAAAGGCAGTTCAGAGTCTAGATCATAAACAACACACCGTTCTCCAGAAGGCATATACAACAACATAGTGTGATAATCCTATAACAGAGGAGTTATTTGTTCATGGACCAATCATTAGAAGTCCAAGAAGAAGAACATAAAGACAAAACTTGTCAAGAACAGGAAACACTCATAAATTCTCTAATCAACTTACATATATCACAAGCTTATCCTCAGTTTCACCTGCCCTCTGACGCCACAGAGGTATAGTGCGAGCTTTATTCGATACAAACACCACATAGCAGTGTTGTAACTCTGATGGGAGCCGTGAGGATATATCCTCACACATTTTCCAAACATTCTCCTCACTGAAAACAGAAAGTGTTCATCAAAATTCTGCAATGGGTTGTCACTTTAGCATAAGAAAGTTAGATGTAACGGCGTTGACACATCAGAAAATTCGGACACAACCTGAGACAACAAGTTACGAGAGAATGATAACAAATCAATAAATATTGTGTCACGATGGATAAATGTTTCATGACATCAAAGTTCGATTTACTTTAGTGTTGAGAAACTGATACATTTTGTAGGGACTTTGCAATTTGACAGTGGTTTAAAATGAAGTGGCAATGTAAACTTATGTAACATTTAATATTTAAGTCTCTGTCTCTTGATTAAAACCAAACCAGTTGAAAACATTTCTTGACAATCATTAGCTAGCATAGAGACGCAAGACTCTTTGCCACAAGAACATTAAGTGTTACAGATTATGAAAACACAATAAAAATTATAACAATTTACTCACCAATATCCAGAAGTGTAAACACAACTCGATCGCAACGGCAAAATATTAATGATGTTCGAATTGGGCAAAGTTGCAGTATCTTGACGTTGAAATTTGTTGGTGAGCCCTGCAGCAGTTCCCGTCGGTTCCTTCGACATCTTAACAACTTTCTGTCGATTTCAGAGGTAGAAGGAGTCGTACGAACATATCCTGTAGCGCAGAAACACCACTATTTTCCCCCGTATCGACCACTTGTTGTCATTAAGCAGACATATTAAACATTCCAGTCGTCTGCAGTGGGTGCGTTCAATACATATCTGCGGCGTAACACGGTCTCCCACACCGGTCAAAACTGTCCCCTCACGGTCCGTTAGATTTTAGATTCTCCTCCCTTCTACTGGGTGCTTTCCATTGCTATGTTTGAAATAATTTATGAGGAGTATTTTCTGATACAACCAGATACAACCCAAAAAACTGGGGGAAAGGAGGGGTAGGGGGATAGGGAAGTACAATGAATCAGCTTCTTTCAAGCTCAAGGAGCCATTGCGATGTAAGCAACTTATTGAACTTTATGGTATGGAGCAATAGGATAGAAAAGAGGTAGAAATAAATTAATAAAACCACACACTTAAATTTATAATAGAGTTTAATTGCTGGTATTGAAAAAATAAAATAAAACCTTTAAATTATACATTAGAAAAATTAAGATTGCAAAATGGCATTGTATTAAAAAGCAGTCTGTGCTATTAGCACAAATACAGATGGAAAGTACAACTCCGTTAACAATACAAAACAGTCTGATGCTAACTAAGCAACTTCTGCACAATTTAGTGTCAAAATAGTCTTATCACAAAGTGCTTCACAAAAGTTAAATCATAAGATGAATAATTTCCAAAAAAATTACAGTTTAAGATACATTGTGCATGAATGTTTCTTGGGGCAAAAGTCACCCAACCACACCCTCAGCCAGTTTTGCCTTTGCAAAGTGGGGAAGATTTAACTCTTGATTGCAAAAGAAAGATAAGTGTTCTAATGACTGTGCTCAGTGACATGTCTTAATTCAGATAACAATTAAAACTTTCATTTGAACTCAACAGAAAGAAAAACAATAACACAAATAGACGCCACTTGGCAAGAAAAGACAATTAACAAAAAAGAGTAACAGGGTAACAGAGTAAATCGGACAAGCAAACGGCAAAAAATGATAAAGATAAAGAAAAATAATAAATTGGATCTAACATGTTTTCTTAACAATATGAATAAAAGAAATGGAGAAAAACCAAGACTGGTGGTTGTTACAGATCTACAGAAGTTCAAAAAGTCTTGCCTGTGATGGACGCACAGTTGCACATTTTAAAAAAAACAAATATAAAATATTTTGTAAGATTTCTAAAACCACGAAGATGATCAGATCTGAATTCATTCTTGCAAACTAGAAATACACTAAATACTAAGTCTGTGAAAGGTGTTCACAGAGAATAAAACATCTCAAGAAGACAACCAAAACAAAATAACTTGAAATACTGATAAGTTACAAGTGTGCCGCAAACAAATCACAACCAGATTCTAAAAGGTTGCAAATAAAAACATCAAACAAAGGAACAAAAAAAATAACAAAGGAAACAATAAAAGAAAGTGTCAATTTTGGACCAAAAGAAAACATGCTTCTACCTCACATGCCTCTACAAATGACAGCACTGACCTCCAAACACTTGAATTCGATACACTACAGTTAGTTTAAGATAACTTCTTTTGAAGGTTTGCAATACAATGATATTGAACTCAACTGAGGGAGGAGCTCATTGTGTGAGAAAATGTGCATGAACTATGAACATAACAAAAATTAATACCATTATAATGAATTGAGGAATCATTGCTGCTGATTTTCTCCCCAATGAAGGCTAAGATGTACAAATTACATTGTGAGATCGAGATTTCAAAGAAAACGCGTCTATTGAGTCCGATTGGGCGGCCCTCAGTGTAGTTGCACAGAAAACAAGTACCTAGTCAATGATAATACTATTAATATAGAGAAGGAAACAATAGATCGCAATCAATTGTCGAGCTAATTCCGTCATCATTGACAAATACAATGAAAATGAGACCTTATCAATACTTTTGTATTATTTGGAGCTATAATGGGCCTCAAAATTGACATTCTTCACAATGTTTAAAATGAATGCATGCATGCTGTAAAGAAATTCCTTTCAGAGCAAAAGTTTTCATACAGATGCACAACAATTAAAATTGTGATGTAACTAAACCTTGAACTAAACTGTACTCATCTCAGATGAAACATTGCTCTTCCCAGCTGTGTTGAATTCAGGAAATGTTTAGTTGGATATGGTAACCATAATTAGCTTCTTAGTTTTATCTTTGTTAGGTAAATTAACAATAAGATCACTTACACTAAGAATCTTGACTTTTTTTGAGAACCAAGTCAAGAGTCAGTAAACATAAAAATAAAACTGAAAACAATGTGAATTTGAATAAATAAATTTATGCCGAAGCACAATGGGCTATAAATACCTTACAGTGCTAACTGAATATGTTTAGCATATGTTCAAGGCAATGTACAATAGTCAAAAACACAAACTACACAAAAGGAGAATGAAAGAAGCCTTCTATAGGTTTAAATTTGCATAAATATTTGTAAAAAAAGAAAGCACTAAATTCATGCAATAGATGCACAAAAATATTTAAAAACTGCTTGAAAAGCATGTCTTACACTAAATAGGAAGCTATGTGCTTCACAGTCAGATCACAGACTCTTTCAAACTATGACACCTATGTGCAAAATTGAAACTTCTACAGTTATAAGATCTTACTTCTTAGAAAAAAGTGCTTTCAAGTTTTAAGTCATAGCTGTACTTACAAGTGTGATTCCATATCTAACCTTCTTTCCCACACAGGAAAGAAGTCAGAGTTGCACAGATCACTAACAGTGGTACACATGACTTAACACTAACCACCACAACCTGCATTTCACAGCATATCACTACAAACAGAGGAGGTATCCTCCTCATCCAACGAGAGTTTTGAGTCATATGGTGTCATATTAAAATAAATGCTGGCAAAAGATGACCGCAAAGACGGTGTTATCTCTTCACCGCTCGCCAAAGGAGCTATACCAGGACCAGAGCTCATTGATGGAGGTCTTCTGAAGTTTGTCATCGAAACCTTACGCTGCCTTCGTAGGTTTCGGTATCCAGAAGCCTTTCCCACGCTGCTGCATCGTCCCAGTATGCTGAAATCAATAAAAAAAACACCAGTTTACTCTTCTGTAATGTGGTGAAGCTTGGGTAAATATATTCTCACACACACAGAGGTTACAAAACACAATGACAGACAAGCAAAAAAACAAAAACAAAAACTACCATACCTCGTTCGTCTTGCTAGGCTTCTTCAACCTTACTCAGGGGACGGAGAACAATTCTTGGGTCAGGTTCCAGCATGCGTTCATTCTCTTCATTGCTATGTGAGTCAAACAAATAAAGCAGTTCCATGCATTAGAGTTAGTATGTTACAACAGTTAGATGACTATAACTCATTTCAAACAATACAAGTTACAAACAGAAAAAAAAAACAGAAAAAAACAGGAAGAACTATCTATATTGGAAGCAAATGAGTAAGACTGCTTAGCAGCTATGTAGCTTCACTCAAAAATAAACAAAACATCACAATATGGATGTTTAGTGGGAAAATTTGAAAACTAACCAGTCCTTGTTATCACTGCCCATGAGTTTGCGCCGTTCCTCCTCATCAGCAACAAGGTTGGGGGGTTGATATGCGACCTCCGACACTGGGGCATACTGCGCAGTGACCAGCAGGTCGGTAGACGGGTTCAGCGTCAGAATCTGAAACGGTGTATTATACTGAGAATGGCCATTGGTTGCACACCGTTGTTACAAATACTAAATTAAACAAAAATTCCCATGCTGCAAAAAATATAGAATGAAAAATAAACAAGATTCCCTGAGGAACAACCACAAACTATAAACAAACTATAAAGCACCATGTGAACAAACTACTCTACAAAATGGCCTATGCAGCAACAGCTATCATACCTAACTTCAAATCTTGGTTCCCAAAATTGCTACGACAATCTACAAACAATCATGTATCCTTAAAGGACCTACATAAGTCAATCAGGTTGCTGTAGCTACTTGTAATAACCTCAGGAAACTAGATTTAGGAGAGAAAAAGCAAAGTGACTATAAATTTAAACATGTAACTAAGGTGTGCAACACATGTACCCCACACGAGACTGTTTAAATCCTTGCGAAGTAGAAGTAACCAGAGATATGGTAAAATTGAACCTCACCAATTTTATGCTAGATTTAAGAACAAATCAAAAATTGAACAAGTTATTAAGACTTTGATTTTGACGGTTTATAAGATAGAACATTTCGATTGGTCCAGGCTACAATGTACAAGGAACATGCATTGTGCTGTTCATGGTGCTGTTGCTGTTGTCCACAGGATGTCAAGTTCTCATTGATACCAAGGCCCCACCTGTCCATTTCCTGCTTGGTTCTCTCGCAGCTGTCTGGCCATGCGTTGTTCTTTGGATGGAAAGCACGGACAATTTTTACGGCGGCGTTCAGCTCGTACATAATATGATAGCATCATAAGTCCAAACAGCATAAGAATAGCACCAATAATCAATATCACCAAGTCTGGAATAAGATTGAAGCATTAATCAAAGCTGGGATTCAAATATTAACAAAAATCACACAGAAAAATGGAAAAAATAAAATCATAAAATTACCTGTTGACTCTCCTTGGGGCATGTTATCATCACTTGGTTCTACCTCATGTTGATGTTTATTTCCTATATCAACAGCACCTTCAATTACCATAATGAGGCCAACAGCTAATGAGAATAATCCCAATATCAGGAGAAGCCACTGAGTACATCGTGCCCCGCTGGAAAATAAAAATATGGTTTAGGTCTATATTTTTTCCTGCAGAAAGTAAAATAAATTCACAGCCATAGGGACAAGCATGAAAGTATACTATAGACTGACCGAAGGCCCTGACTAACAGTTTGGCTCAAGTAGCCAGCTGGGCCGTGCTGTTCATAGCTAACAGTGGTTGGTTGGTAAACTGGTCCGCTGGCAGGCATCTAGTACACATGAAAGAAAATTGATAAAATTTTAACAGTAGCTTTATTGATATAGCTTAGAACAAGTACATCAAATGTCAATGCCACGATTTGACAATTGCAGACGATAAGACAAAAGCTTCTTACATGCACAAATTATTTTAAAGTATTTTACAGTAATTTAAAGAATTCAATAAATATTAATGTTATCCGAGAGAAATGTGATCAAACGACAGAACTTTATGAAAATTAGTTCGAATGAATCGAATTGGAAGCATCTGTTTTCAATACAAGGACATAGCACCTATAACCTAAAAATAAAAACAAATCGGGCTTTACTTAGGCTACTAATACAGAGTAAAAAGTTCATGAAACCTCGCCTCCACAAAACTACACACAGAGAGAAAATGAAATGCACAACGAGCGATTTCAATCCGAACTGAAGTATACAAATGCTGACCACAAGTGCCATTTGTCAGTCATATTGTTGTTGTAAAGTTACCTTCAGAGTTAAAATGGTTTGACCGCAAAAATACAGCAAACTCACCGTAAACAAGGGGCAACTAGCACTTTCAAGTAGACAGATTAATCTACCAACCGTTTGGTTGGAAATATGAACAGATCTAACGTTACTACTGTTTCATCACAAAACTATGCAATACATTCTGATGTCAGCCACCAGCCTCATCCAACCATCAAACTGTCTGTCTGTCCGTTGGGCAGAGACCGACGAGTACACGTACACGTTGTCGTCGGGCGGAGAACACCATTGAAGCAGGCAACGGGTAAAACTTATAAAACGTAAAACGGTGGGAAAAAAAATATGTTTTGGCTGTAATAATGAGATCTAGAATCCAGAGTCAAGGAAGTTGGAGGACAATAATGCAATTTTCAATAGTAGATTTAAATTTTTAATGTAGGTTCATAAAATTACACTTTATACATGGAATTCCAAACAAATAGAGTTCATAACACACAATAATGTTGACTACTAGGCTCCTATACAAACACAAGGACAAAATTACACACTTTGTACACAACCAATGTTAAACGTGTAAAATTAGTACATGTTTTCAATATTTTAAAAATTAGATATTTCAAGTACATATTTAAACATAGCAGTAGATTAAGAGGACCGAACCAAACGAGCTGTTTCTTTCATGGCATCAGTTAAATACACTGAATATGCAGTTGTCACTTCCTCAAAGAGCTGCAATGGAATATGTCATGTATAAGAACTTATTACTGTATTATGGAATGATATGTTCATCTTAAAGCCCACAAACCTTTTTATATTCTTCATCACTATCAGTGACTTTTTTCAACTCTAAACAAAGGAGTTCAATAGTTCTGATAGGTAGGCAAGTTGGATTGACATATGGACTAAGTTTGTCTCTTCCTGCGACCAAACACTCCACGGCCAACGCTCCTGCCTCCATAAGACGTCCAGTCCTTAAGAGAAGCCTCAATAATTCAGAGAGATTCCTTTCCTGGGATAGATAGAAAGTAGCATTAAGGGTCTCAAAAGAATTTACTGTATTTCTGAAAAAGTGCTCAAAACCTCTTTTTAACCAACTGACCACCTTAACAAGAGAAGTGCCTCATACACAAATTTACTTCAGTCCAAAATGGAGTCCATATAGATCACAACTTGAAAAAAGTCAAGTTAAATTGGTTCTCATTCACTTACTTTGTAGGATGTCACCAACCAATTAGGAAGAAAGACACCTAGAGCTAAAAGTCTGTTTGAAACAGCTCTGTGGAGAATAGTTTGCATGTCTTTTTCACAGGCCATGAGGGTGACTTCCAGCATACGCCAAGCTAACTTAACAGGATTGCTTTCATCAATGCCAAGACCTGAAATGTGATTTAAACAACAAAATATTTCCTGCTCAACATTCCACTCTGAAGATACGAAAAGTTATTTCTCACCTCGTAAATCGTTCTCCGACAACCACTCCCATGCAGTTGTAGGGTCTCTGTTGGAGCTTTCCATGTTTGTAAGCCTCACACAAGCCGATGCAAGACTTTCAAGAACAGGCTGGTAAGGTAAGTTGTGAGCTCTACATAATTTGATGGCAGCTTGGTACATACCAACTTGTGACAGGACAGCAACTAATTCATTTGGTGCCAGACGACAACCTTAAGGGGAGAAACACACAGATAAAAACACAAACCTCTGATTCTTTGGAGCTAGATAGATAAACTTTTATAGACTAGATATGGTGCCATTTGATATAGTAGATAGATATATATGCTTGGATATAACAGTTATACCTGTGCGCCTGTATTTGTCTGGGGAGTGCCTCAACAATCTTAATCGGCATTGGACTACTTCAAACTCTGTTCTTATGTGTTCAATTTCCATGACATCCACCTGCCTTTTCCACTGGGGCTTATTTAGCTAAGAGATATGCACAGAAAATTCATGTAATTTACAATAGAGATTTAATTAAAATATGACATAATAACCATAATATATCCCTTACCTTTACCCCATCACTTCCTCGTTTGGGACTCATGCTAGGAATATCATCATCTCCGTCACTAGAGACAACAGGCTTAACAATCCATGCATACTTGGGATCAACCAACTGCAAAGCATTCAAACACGCTAGATAACATTTTGCTTGCCGCTCAGTAAGTTCAGCTGAATGTGTTCCTTCACAGCCCAAGCGCATTCCTTGCTCATACATGACTGTGGCAGCTAGAAGAGACCATATTTTAACATATCTGCTCAAAATGATTATCTAGTAAATAAGTTTAAATCATGTTTAGGTACCTTTCCTAAAATTAAGTTTCTTGATATGGAAAGCATATAAGAAATTATAGAAAGCAGGATTGCTGATATCAAGAGATCGTGCTCGTGATTCAACTATTCTTTCCAGATCTTGCACAAGATTTTCATATGGGAATTCAAGCAAGAGGTCCAATCTACGAAGTTCAAATAGATTCACAACAAGTTGCCGCAAACAGTCTACGCGGCGAGCACTGTCCGGGTTTGAATTGAGTGACTGATAGGCTTCTTGGTGGTGTTCAAGCCGGAGATGGTTGACAAAGGCAATGGAATGGAGAGTTGGCTAAAAAGGAGAAAAGGTAATATTCTGGAATCAGGTTTGTAGCAGACTATATATTCAATCAAACTAACTAGGTACATACTAGATCTGGATCATCCCTTTCAGCTACTTGACTTGCCATTTCAGCAAGCTGAATTACACAGTCAGGATAATTTTGTTGCTCGAACAGCTGTATCACCTACAATTGTAAGAAATAGGATGTGAATGGGTAGGCATTCTTTTAAGAACCCCGTAAAAGCTCCATGTATAAAAAACTAACTTATTTTTAAAATAAAATAAAAATTGATATAAAATTGCCGGTTACTTTAATACACACGAACTTACTTTCAAGTAATAAGTAACTAACAATCGACTCTCTGAACTCTCCTCAAATGCACCAATTTGTCTATTCATAAATGCTTCATTCCTCAGCTCATTGGAAGCTTCAACAAATAGTTCAAGAGCTTTGTGAGCTTCACCCATGTCAAGCAGAGCTGAGCCAAGTAAAAACTTTCCTTCAAATAACAAAACAAGAGTGTGATTTAGTTTCTCATTAATTCTTACCATTTTGATTATCTGGACTTCATTTAGAAAACAAAACTTACTTGATCGTATATTTGACTCACACCATTTGCTTGAAAGACGAACATACTCCTGCACAAGCAAATGCTGGCAAGAGGCTAAGAGGAACTCGGGAAACACAAAATGGTCAGATATTGGCCATCTTAGTACTCGTTAAGGAATAAAATGGCGATTTCACAGTAAAGAAAAAGTCAACTTTAAGCAAAATAGAGCAATCTTATGAGAAGGATACATCAGTTGGCAAAGTAAGGCCACAAATGAAAGCATTGAGAGGTCTGCCTCAGGACCAAGACAAGCTAACTGTCTGTGCACTTGCTGCACACCAGTTGCCTGAAGGAAGAGTTCAAGCAGAGAGTAAGTTTTTTGCATTGCTCTGAGTGAGCCTAGAGATGCAGCAATAGCTGCAGCTGTACTGTTTGCATCACTTAGTGTCAAGATAGACATTCTCTGAATGCTGCTTTCCCTTAAAGAAAAGATTATTAAAAAATGCAGTTTTTCTCAATTTTCACGGGCTGCTGATATAAGAAGGAACCGATGGTAGAACTTACAAAACATTGGGCTTGACAACTGGAGAAGCAGGAGTATCACAAATCCATACCATTACCAGGTATGCTTGAATCAAGGTAACAGTTCTTGGAATCAGTCTACTCCTTAGTTCATAGGTCTCCTCATTTCTTTGTAGCAAAATTTGTTGCAATAGCAACAAGTTACGACACAATGAGAATCTGAAAAATTCAAACCATTCCTTGATCTGGATGCCTAATAAAAATATGTTGCGCACCTCATGCCTCCAAAATTAAAACAATAAGCAGGATGGAAATAATCTCACCTCATAATAGCAATCTGTCGTGTGGTTTCTGCAATGGTACTGATACCAATGTGACTGCTGAAGAGAAGGCTCACTGACAACAGTTGCCTTGACATGTCTCCCGCTGCAAAATTAAGATGACTAGTAACTAAAGGGAAAGATACTCCATTGATGTTGCGTATCTATAATAATATGCACACGTTCAAAACAATATTCAACAGATGTACATAAACAGAACTATGAATACATACCTGGTATCTGGCTTGGATCAAAGTCAGAAATTGGTGGTAGAACAAGGCGGTTTAATAGGTTTTCAATGGCAGCTGGAATGTTGTTAATATTCCTCAGATGTTGCTGCATGAGATCAGACTCAAATTCCTGTAAAAAATAAAAGCAGGCATGAAAGAAAAGTAGAATTATATGACATAGAGATGTGATTAAAATTGTATTTTACCTGATGCATTGAGTCACCAAGAAGATCCTGAGCTAGTTTGCCAATAACTTTTTCAGGACTAAGCAACCGATATAGATCACGCTCAACACCAATTTTAGTATCTTCACTGAGGTGCAATTCTAGCATATTTATGACTTGAACCAGGTTTGATACATCAGAGTCTGAAAAATAATATTATTAAGCTAGCAATGCACCCAGTTCTAGCAGTTTTTAATGAAATATGTACAATAAACTTACTCAGACCCATAAATTGAGAATTTCCAGAATGACCAAGTCCTAGTGTAAAGAGCATCTCTAATGGATCCATTGGTCTCAAAAGTGATACATAGGCCTTGTTAACCAGTGCGACTCCAGATGTTACAGGAGGCAAACTATTATTAGCACCACTAGGAGACAGGAGAACCAGCCCAATAGGACGACTTCCGGATAGATGGTATTGAACACAGCAAGAGTAAAATTTATCCCAACACCGGTTGGCTACTTCTAAGTATTCTTCATCAGAAACTTCATTCTGCATTTCAAGGTACTCTTCGTCTGAAAATTCATTTTGTATCTCAGTTTCAACAGCTTGACAAACTCTTTCTTTTAAGACAGATGGCGAGATGCCCATTTCATTCATCATCGGGAGGTCTGCAGAGCGTCTAAAAATCTAAAGGAAGAACATTGTTTTAAACCAGTTAATCGTAAAAGAGAAATAGGCACCAACAACAACAACAAAAAAAGAGAAAGATATTTACACTTAAAGCTTTCATGATGACAGGTAGTGAAAAACGACCTGGATGAAATATGTATGAAATGTACGCTTGCCTAGCATCGACCATTGCATCATTTAGAACAAACTCCCTGTCTGGACCAGGTTCCAAGACAGAGTGCCTCCAATAAGCATCTCCTCCAGAAGAAGAGGGACGAATGTTAACAGTAGAAACATCAGTATCGCCTTGAGTATTGCGCCACACAGCCCAAAGTTGTGATTGACAAAGAGCAAAGTCCACAAGATCCTGTCCCTAAATTATAAAAAAAAGAAATTATGTAAAACTTAAAAAAAAAAAAGATTATGGAACATTAAAGATTTCACAGCAGAATCTTACGGTAGGTGCCCGAATACTAAAGAGACGCGTAGGGCGGAAACTGCCAGAAAAATATGACACTTGCAAGACCACAAATTGACATTCAGTGGAAAAACAAAGAAAAACTCCCAACAAAAGTTCATTGTCATTGTTGACAGAACTAATTGCCTTCTTCAGGACATGACTTTGAGCACCTTGTGTCAAATTTTTGCCTTGTTCCCCTGCATCGTCCAGTACATCAGAAACAGATACACATTGGCCTCTGCTGCAAGACCAAATCCTAAGTTGACCACTTCTACCAAGACAAAAGAGGTATGTGTCTGCTCCAAATGAGTGAAGAGTCATGCTGGCTACAGCATTTTCTTCGCTTGGCCTTCCTCGAAGTGCACCAGTTAGGAAAAATAAACGTGAGGTAAGTGATTCTTGCTTCAATTCGATTGTGGCCACAGTACCATTGTTGTCATTGTGTCTTGCAAGTAAAATTGTTCCATTTGTGTATGCCAAAGCAAATAGAGCATCATTATTGGAACACAACCATGAAGCTGAAGAATATGGCATCAGGGTGTCTGTAAAATTGAATAAAAATAAGAATAAACATGAACCTCTTACAATAAGTACATAATGAAAATATTGACTGCAATTTAAAACTTACTAGTAGCATTATTGCTAATAACAGAAAATGATGCTGGGTCACGAGCATCAGGAGCATTGGCAAATATGGATTGAACATTTGATTCAGGATGCTGATTCCAAATGAAGTCCTATAAAGATGATGCATCTCAATTACTACCTTCAGAAAATTTGCAAAAAAATTGCTTGCTAGAGCAACAAACCTGTCTATTTCCACGATCGAGATACGGAAATTTTAGTCTGTGAATGCTTGATACTGTACAAACAAGTACAACAATACCCTGCAAGGTTTCATGAATAGTAAGTCCTTCAAGTACAGGAGAATCTTGAAACTTGTAGCGCACTTGATTTCCGATCAAATTAACATCCAAGCTGTGTTCAATCAACTCAAGTACGTCATCGTATAGGCGCCTGAAATCATGTTTTAATTCATTAATAAAATGCTGGTACAATATAAAACATTTGACACAGCCAATGAATACTCTAAAATTTATAAAAAATACCAGTATATAAAGCGGTTTCTGCCGTATGGCTTTGAAGGATCTTTGTAGCCATATCCCCCTGCTCTTTGAGGAACTTTAATATCTTGTAATGTACTTTGAGCACCACCTAAAGGAATAAATAGAGCAAATTACAGACTAAATGCTGATATTATTGAAGAGAACTTAAAAACAGTTACTTTGAAAAGGATGAAACAAGCTGTTCCGGACAAAAAGCATCAAAGTGAAATATTTAAAAAGCGCAGGCATGAAACATGCAGGTTAGGAAAACTTTGTAGGATGTGTATTTCTGTTAAAAGTAAAGAGTTCAGAAGCACACAAATACGAGTTTAGGTCACTTTTAAAAAACAACTATAAATTTGATACAGAATTTTGTAGTATAAGCTACCAATAAAAAAGGGAAATACAAAAACAGAAGTGAGTACCTGTGTTCAATGTGAAGTCTTTCCATTTCTCAGGAAGTGTCTGGTCAGGAATGACCTCTCGATAACAAGGCCGAACTTGCTCCATGTTCCAAATTTCGTTATCACCAAATTAAATTTAAAATTAAGAAAATAAAACAAAAGGACTTGTTGAAATTGCTCTTCACACTGTCAACATGAGGCAAAGCCGGCGCAAGAGCGCCAGTGGCTCTCACTATTAGTTCTTCTCTCAGATGATTGATATAAACCTTGTTTCTCAGAGTAAAATTGACGAGAAAAAGAAAGTCATGAATGAGAGCTCAGCACCACCATTCAACCAACGTCAACGTTCTACAAAATTCTAAAATTATATCAAAACACAATTTCTACTTCCGCGCTTTTTTTTTCAGCGTTTTTTCCGGTTATTCGCCCGCGCCCGTGAGTACTCTACTAGAAGGCAGTTCTGCGACGGGCGGCGGGGTGGGGTGCGGGGGTGTGGGGGGCAGAGGAGGGTAGTTGTTGTAGTGGTGTTGGGTCGGTAGGTTGAGTGTGAGTTTTGCCGGACGATTAACAAACAAATATGACTTTTTACTAGCGAAGAACTCCACACAGTTGGACTTGTTGAGACGTTGTTCGATTAGCCCAGCGGCGTTTCTTCAAATTCACTGACAGCTGAATTCTTTAATGGCAACATAGTCCATCTCTAACCTAGATTGGCGTCTGCTTGTTGTAAGTACCATATAAACAACAATTATTTCAACGATCGGTTTACTCAGTGAAATATAAACTACCATTTCACAATATTTTCATTCCTTATATATTTTTATACATTTCATTTTGCTATGATCTGCTGATCAAGATTCGTTCCCCTCTCGTCATTATATACCTACTGCTTGTACAATAGGCATTGTTTCATTTCAGGTTTGGATATCTAAAATGGCTGATGCTCCCAAGCCTGTTAGCCTTAGCCCAGATGACAACACTGCAACCATCAATAATACTGTTAATTGTGAAGTTAACTTGCCAAAGCCAAATAAGTCAAAGAAGAAGAAAAACAAGCTCGGAGTTGCTGCACCTCGTCCACCACTGACAGGTAGGTTCAATTTGGTAATGTACCAATGCAGAATTTTATTTCCTTTGTGTATTAGTCTATCATGTTTTTCTGAATGCAGGATATGTTAGATATCTTAATAGCCGTCGAGACAACTTGAGGAATGACAATCCAAATTTAACATTCCCTGATATTACAAAAATTTTAGCCCAAGAATGGGCTAATTTGCCCCCTGAAGAAAAAAGAGTGAGTAGTATTATTCTTTGCTGTCATGAAAGTGATTCTTCCATTTTCTGTAGCTTCTCATTAGGTATGAATTTTTTTTACAAAAAATTTGTGTCTTTTAATAGCCATATCAGGAGGCTGGGGAGCAAGATAGGGAGCGGTATAACCATGAGTTTGAGGAATACAAGAAGACTGACGCATACAGGGAATATCTGCGTCAGCAAGAAGAAAATAAACAAAAAGGGAAAGAAAAATTAAAAGATAAAGAACCTGAGCTAAAAAGAGCTAAAATTGTCCCAGAACATAATGATGAGGTAGGAAAACCCCTACACTTTAAATGTTTGAAAACTTTATGTCTCTATCTTATTTTTAAAAATTCCCTATTGATAATTGTAATGATTGTGTACTTAAATTGAACTATTTAAATTTTTATTACAATGCTATTATTTTGCAGAGTAACAGCAGTGGCTTTGACATTCCAATATTTACTGAGGAGTTTTTGGACTTAAATAAATGTAGGTAACATTGTTGATGGTTTTGTAATATCAATAATTCCATCAATTCATCATGGTTCTTTTGCCTATTATTTTTTAGCTCGAGAAGCAGAGCTTCGACAATTACGAAAATCAAGCACTGATTTTGAACTTCAGAATGCCTCTTTAAGTCGGATTGTGGAGAGTATGAGAACTGCTGTTTCTAACTTAGAAAGTGATATAAGCACTCAACGTTCCAATAATTTGGCTCTTAGTCGTCACCTAGACCAGTTGCGTGCATCCCTAGCTGCAGCTTTCCATGCTGTAGCTCTTCCAGGTAAATCCCTTTGATTTACTTTTAATATTTGTCTATAACATGAGCAAAACTCAAAGAGCTTTAGTTTGTTTCTTCAGTTTTTTATTTAAAAAAATATTGGTTTCATTATTTTCAGATGCAAATGAAAGGCCAACTGTAGATAACATTGACTCCTATATGCAAAAACTGCATGGTCTTTTTATGGGTTCAGTGGGCAACCAGCATGCTCAACTTCTTGCAAGAGTGTCAGGCATTGTAGAACGTTTAGATCTGCATGGCTGATATGAGAGTCATGGAACATTTTAATGTTCCAAATTCATGGTTTCAGTATTCTGAAAGGAACTTTATTTGATGGTGCCAGTATGAGCTGGGAAAGCTTATAAAAGTGCTGCAGGAGCAAGTTCTTTTATTTTCCAAAGTGTTTTTCTATAATGATTGCCTACAAGCATATGAACTTTGTACTGTATCTAGTTATGACTTCTATTTCAATAAATTGATGTGATTTGGAAAATGTTGCCATTCTACCAGTAAAATGGGAATAAATGTAATCACTTTCTAAAATTACAGTTTTTCAGGCGTTAAAGACCCTGGTTTTCTATATGGTTATGCTGACACAGACTTACACCTTCTGTCAATAAGAATTGAAAATATATCTGAGAATGCTTCTTTCCCGGTTGCTGCCCAAGTAACTTCTTAGGGACTTGATGCGTTGTTTTGTGACTGGTTGTGACCATGACCATACTTTCCTGGCAAACGCCAACGCTCGTACTTCATTTTTTGCCTCAGCCGGAGCTAGAGAGACTCAGAGCAGCAGAGTCTCTCTAGCCGAAGGGTGGGCCTGTCAGGCTATTCTTGGATTCAATCGGCAATGGGTGTCGATGTGACTTCCCCGAGCCCTGCGCTCTTTATGCTGCCCCCCCCCCCCCTCAGCTCGCCCTCTCCGGTCTCGGGGCCAGTAAAGCCAAGCCAAGCGTCGCGGTAGGCGAAGCACCTCTGCTCTGTTCGGTTCGACTTGGACAGGATGCGGCCCTATCCGGTCCTGGAACTCCAGCAGCAGGCGGGAGGGGAGACTAGAGTCGGGGAAGACCAAGCAGGGCCGGCAGGAGGTGCAGCCGGGAGATGCTCAGTAACGTCTGGTCCGTCGGCCCGTCCCCAACCCTTGGGGTGCGCGTCGCGTGTGTCTGTTGTCAACCTGGCTCTGGTCACACCAACGCTGTGGACACTGCGCGGGTAGACGTTCTTGTCTCGACCCGAAGGGCGTTTCTGTGTGAGTGTGTGTGACTGCGGCTGTGTCGGCGGGGTGCTCGCCGCGGCGCCGCGCCCGCCCCGCGAGTGCATACGCACGCGACGCACGCTGCGTGCGCCTGGCGCGTGCACGTGCGCGAAGGCAGTGACCCTTTGATGGACGTTGACTCGGCGCCGTACCGGCCGGTGGCCGCGGCGGTGCTGGAGCGGGGCCGCAGCGGGGCTGGATCGGAGCGTGCGCCGCGCACCCCGCCCGCCACGCCACGCACGCAGCGCGGCCGGGCCGGGAGCCGGCGGTGGCGGCGTGGCCTGGACGCTCCGCCGCACTCCAGACACTGGCCGTCAAGGTGAAGGCAACAAGGGTTCTGATTCGCGCGCGCAAGTCCGGCAGAAGCCGCAGGAGCGACGACGCCATCTCCTCCGCTCCGCAGCCGCCCCTCCCCTGCCTCCTCGGCGGCGTCCTGGCCGGGCCGCGGGCTGCTCCGGCTCCAGCACCTGCTCCACCAGCACCGTCCCGCGCGACACCCCCGCGCCGCATAGCCGTGTGATGCAGGCTACCGCAGCCGACGAGTGAAGTGAAGTGACAGCCGTTGCTGCGATACATGCTGCTGGTCGCCATGCTGGTCGGCGTGTTGGCCGCCTACCTCCGCATGCTGGCGGGGGCGGGCTCATCGGCGGGCCCCGCCGCGGGCCCCGTCACCCGGGCCGCCTCCCTCGAGGACTCGCTGGCCCAGAACACCATCCACGGACTCACCAATGGTAAGCGACCATGATGAAACTCTCGGGAGCCGCGCGGTGCTGACAAGAACTGGCAAAGTGTAAAACTACCGTCGTTCGTGAGGAAACTCGTAACACCTCTTTCGACTTGCCAACGATGAGTGCGCCCGATTTGGGATTATATCCAGAAAGTATACGTGCGTCATTTGCCGGTACAAAGCTGCCAAGTTCAGCTTCAGCCTCCGCAAGCTGTGATAACCCCTGTGAGGTAGGCAACATCTTTCCTGCAGTGCATGCGTGTACGGCGGGGTGGCCCACCCTACGTCTTGCAGGCGCCGAGCTCCTGAATTTGTCCGCGAATTTAGCCGAACGATTCTCGATGACCCCTTTCGACATGCGACGTCGTTACGGCGTTTACGGGTTTCGGTGTTGCTCCACAAAAACATTTCCGAAGTTGGAGGGGTAGATGTTGGTGGGCTGTTCCACAGAGTGTCAATACTGAAAATGTCTCGGTTAATTTCATCCGACTTTTGCTTCCATCATTTTGATCTCTTGGACCCCTAAATCCACCGCGAAGAATCGAGTGAACAATAATAGGTTAAACCGGGTTAAACCCAGGTCTTACAAGCCGCGCGAGTGCATGCGGTACGGTTGAAACGAGTTTAACTTGGTAGGCGGAGCGAACCAGCAGCCTGGTGGAATTCAAACAAAGGACGGAGGGGCCTCCTGTGAGACGAGCGACTTGTACCGGGCGTTTCTTTGCACACGCCGGTGCGGGCGGGCCTCCCTATGCTCACGGGGGCCAAGGTGCTTTTACGGGCGAGGGTGTACAAGCACGGCAAAAAACAATGTCTATTATTTTTTTTTTGGAGAAAAAAGGGAAAACTTTGAGGACCTCCCATATTTGAGGAAAACTCCTCAGATCTTGAGGAACCTCCCCCAAAAATGAGGAAAAATGCCACATTTTGTTTGAGGAGACTTCCTCGAAATCTGAGGAGCTTTCCTCAAACCAAGGGAGTTCCTCAAAGTTTTCTCTTTTCCCTCCCTTATACCCTTTTTCTCTTACCGTGAGTAGGCAAACACGCCAAAATCGGCGCGTGCAAAAAAGATACACAGTCGGTACTGACGCTTGCTTGGGCGCGAGGGGTGGCGGGTGGCGAGCTATGGTTGTCGACTAATGGGATGCTATGACCTGCGCAACAATTTGATGGAGGCGCGGGAGGCCCCGCCTCTCATAGTAGTCAGTTGAACCTGATGTCGTTAGGAGTCCTATGGTTCTGCGCGTGTGTGGCTTCCCTACACCGCACGAGTGGCTGTGTGTGTGTGTGTGTGTGTGTGTGTGTGTGTGTGACGCCGTCCTACTCGACATTCCAGCGAAACCGATAGAAATTTTGCAGCGACATATAGCGCCCCGCCACGAGCAAATACCCTGCACTGCCCCCCCCCCCCCCCCGCTTGCACTTGGTCGCTACGCGCGGGGAGAGAAATAAAAAGCAGAGGGGAGAGGAGGAGGACTATTGATCTTTTCAACCGGCTTGTCCGAGTTTGCCACGTGTGCACACCGCTGTGCCGCCGCACGCGAACCCGCGGGAACACCTGGCGGTCGGCTGGTAGGGGTAGGAGGTAGGGAGGGGAGGGGGGAGGGGTGCACGTGCACTGGCAGAATGTACTCCTGGGTTCACGGCGCGCCACCCCCTCCCCCCACCCCTTCTTAGGATAGCAATCAACGAGAGCAAAGCACCGCGGCTCAGCTGATGAGGTGGTGCAAAGGGGCGGGCGTGTTTATCAATGAGACAATAATAATAATATTCAAGAGCGCGGTGTCCCTCCCCCCATCTTCACCTCTCCACTTCCTCACTAGGCCCCGAGGTGGCAAGTCGAGGTAAAGCGATCAGCTCGAAAAGCAGCGCCGATTCACATGGAGATATGAATGGGTGGATGGGATGCACCGTGGATTGCTCACAAACAGTTTCAGTTTCTTTTTAAATCGAATTGTGTCCACCTTCATAGTCCGGCTCACTAGAAACGACTAGCGTTTGCTGTGGTTCCATACTATATGGTTATCATCAAACAAAACAATCTTGATGATTGCGATGATAATTTTTTGCGCCGTGTTGTCGCCCTGTCATGTCCTCCTGGCCTCTGCCGAGCCGAGTTGTTTGAGAGCGACGACGAGTAATCCACTTACAGTAATCATCATCCTCAGGCATGTCATAGTTACGGTGGTTTGGCCCGGCGGGACGGGACGGGACGTGTGGCTCACCGCCTGTCGCCTTGCGCGGACCAAGGATGCGAGCCTCACATCCGTCGTGGCGCCTAAAAGAGAGGAAGAGAGACAAACAAACAATCTCCGGTGGTGGTGCGGTCGGACGCGACCACCAGCAGCAGCAAAGCAAGCTAGCCCGGCCGGACAAAATCTGCCAA